TGGCCAAACGCCAGATCGAGTCCTTATGAGTGATGACATCGTTCTCGACATCCGTATAACCAAACCCTTCGGTCCACACATTTGTGCCGTTAATACTAAACGCTATAACAGTTCCGGGAATTGACTGCTTTTGCATTAAGTCTTTCATCTGATTTCTACCATCTTTTATCACGTCTTCAATTGAATCAAACGTTTGATTTGAAACATAATTTTTATTAAAACAATTGCTTAAACTTAGACATAAATTATAACTTAATAATATAACTATTAATTTATGTTTCAATAACAACAACATGTTTGACTCTTTTTAGAATAGTTATGTATACTATAGATTTCTGTACAATTATTTGCAATATAAAGTATGAATATAATATAAACTACAGTATACTTAATATATTTAACAGTATTTTATTTAATTTTGTAGTAAATTAAATATTTTATTGAACTTGCAATTGTTATTTTCACAAATGTTTTTTGAACAAATTTTAATCGTTTGTAAATTATTATATACTGTATACCTCACTATTTATACTATATTGTTAAAAATAAAGTTATGCGTTGCACCTTGCTGGAATGGTAATATTTAATCAATATTATTTACTTTATTATGTGTGCACACAATCAATCACTATTTAATCTTTTATAAACACATACAGTATATTATTCTTAATAATTATTGCAATATTATTTTATAAATCAACATTAATAACATGAATATGCATATTTTGATAGTATTAATTTGATGTTATTGTATCCTGTTTACAAGAATTTAACAAGTAACAAATTTAACAGTAAACCATTACACTTTGTATAAGATATTCAATAAAATTATTATTTGAAATATTGATATATTATATTTGAATAACAATTGTCGATACAATATGTATATTGATATTATTTATTAAATAATCACATAATATTAAAACATTTAATTATTTCAAAATTTTTGGTAAGTTACATGGCCTGTACAGAATTAAAAATATATTTTAAAAGTAAAGTCGGTGAAACATAAAGTAAAGTCCAGGATAATATAGCTAAAATTAGAAAAATGTTCAGAAATCCATGATTGTCATAAACTCATCTGATCTAGTCCTAACTAAGTTATAATCATTAACATTAATTAATAACATATTTAAGTTTAAATTCTTTTAACAAACAAATCTTCTAATTTAAAACTATAACTAAATTCTATGTACATTAGAACGGAGTTACTGTTAATTCTCTATTAGAAATTTATTATTAAACATGGTTCGCAATGAAAGGATTTAATTTAGTAATAAATAACTAGTTAATGTATTCACTTATGAATTTATTCACTTATTAAACTTTTGAATTAAAAATTGAGTTCATTTTTTCACAATGATTTCATTTCACATGTGCTTACATTTTATAACATATTTATTATTTATTTTAATAATTCTCATTCATTATAATATCGCTAAATATAATCGATATCATAGTATATCATGTTTGATAACATAGTAGTAATCGTATCGTTATTCTCATTGATCTCGTGTCAGCCAAACCGCTATAAAGAGCTGTCATGTAAGGCATCCCATTCTCTATCTAATCAAATCAATGATAAAATAAGTGAATATTAATTACAATGAATGCCTTTTACATGAATATACAGACGATGTGAGCGCCGGTAACAGTCAGAGCGTATTGGGTAAGGGGTTGTATGAGTGCGACAAAGACTCGTATTTCGATACAATCGTCCGATCCATTGAAGGACAACAGGAGTCCTCGCAATGCAATGCATTCAAGATTAAGAAAAGGGATGAAATGGTCTACGGATTGAAAAGGGGTCGATATATACCACTCAACTCCTATGGCTTCTCCGCCCTTCTCGACAGCAACGGTATGTGTGTTTTTCTATAGCAAATAATGTTCAGTTGTGTTGATTTAAACAATCATGGTAATTTTAAACACCATAGGTTCGGAGCATTTTATACGTATGGGTGCCATAATAGGTGGTGAATGCGATGAGTCGCCCATTTTTCTCCAGAATCTGATGATAGTGTCGAACGGGTCGTGCGATGGGTCCACAGGTGTATCGCAATTGCATTCAGTGTCCGCTAATTATGTGATACAAGGAAAGTGTTACTCTTCGTGCTCGGGAGAGGCCACTGTCGACTACTGGCCCGGAAAGGCCAACTAGGGTTTGATCATGTTATTTGTATCTATGTTTGTATGTACATTTGTTTAATTATTAGTTTAATTTATTAAATTACTGTTTAATTCTGTGATTTTGTTTAAATGATATGTTTTTAGGCCATTATTTGAGTGTTTAAAATAAATTTAGTGATTAAATATTAATGCCATACAAATGAGAGCACATATTTCTGTACTGAATTTTAAAGCACTTTTTATAATGTTTAGTTGACATAGAATTTTAATTCTTAAACATAATAATTATTTATTTCACAAAAATTCAATTCAAAAATAACAGACATTTTATATACTTTTTATATAGTTTTCAAACTCGTAAACTTGAAGATCAAATTGTTTACTAAATATATTTAAATTTATGATTTTATATCTAGAAAAAACGGATTGTTTTTATTGTTGGCAATAAATTCATATAATTTATAACATTTTATAATATAATTAATAAATCATTTCATTAAATAACAAATTAAACACTTTTTATTAGTGTTTTTCATAGTATATATGGAATTATTTGTAAATTTCGTTGATATGTATGTTTATAATCTTCATCTCAATTACTTTATCGCTAAATGTGTGGAATTTTATCATTTGATTAGACTTTTTAATAATAATAATAATAATAACAATGTTATTAATATTAGACTATATATAATAATATCAATGTTTGGCGGGGAGAACGTTGGTCGCGAAGTCGCCCAACATATTGCCCGCCGGGTTATAGTTGGCCACCACTACAATCTTGCCTGTTTTGGTCCGGGCTTTAGCCACACCTAACTCTTCGCTCTCTTTCCATACGACTTGCGTGAAATGACCTGTAATTGTGTTTAAACAAAAACAATTTACATTATATAATCGCTAAAACATATACAGTAAATGTCATTTGCGTATAACGTATACGGAGTTATACAGAAAAATTGAATGTCATTGTTATCGACAGAATTAATATATATATTTTTTGCGATAAGGGTTTAAGTATTTTTGCTGCAAATTGGAAAGCGATAGTAGAGTAGCGCTTATTAAACTCGAGATTAGCTTTTTTATGGTGGACTTAATGCTTAAGTAAATATTCATTAAATAAATTAAATAATAAAGTGCTTTGCGTTGTATGAACTGTATTATACCCGATGCTAATGATGTGGGCTCTCTGCCAAATGTGTGGTCTTTGATCTCCGCGTACCAGTTGTCCACCGGATCCCTACCTGTGGGGCCATTGAGTAAAAGTAAAGTTGTAGTAGTATTCACACTCAATAGCTATTATTATTTAGATAATTGTCTTCACAACAGCCGATACCTGCGATCTTGAAGTGGGGATTAGACGACCACTTCATGAATATATTCTCGCCGTAAGTATTATGTGGTCGGTGTTCAAGAGAGTCCTTCTTCGCGATCTCTTTAGCCCATTCCTCCGCGTATTCGCACAACTAATCAAACAATTCAATCAATAATTTAATAATTAATACCAAAAAATATATTGAAAAATAAATTTTCTATTTAAATGACAAATATCTTACTTTATGAGAGAGTTTCAATGGTTTGACGCCGTGTTTCTCGCGATAATAGTTATGCCATTTGAGACACTCTTCGGCAAACTCTTTGTCGTCGTCTGTTGGATGAGAAGAGGGCGTGTCGTGAGACGTATGGGTCGGCGACGAGGGCTCCGACTTGTCTTTAATGGCGGAGTGTTTCTCATCCTTCTTCTCCTTTGACTTATCCTTTGATTTTCCGCCAAAAAACGATTTAATCCTATCTTTGATGCCGTCGTCCGACGACGAGGAAGAAGAGGTAGAGCCGGACCTTGACTTGCGGTTCTCGATGGGCAGCGCCTCCTTATTATCAATACCCAAGTGTTTAAAATCGTCCAAACCTTTAAAGTCATCCGATTTAAACTCGTGGGTAATCTGTCGACCATTACTGTCGGTGACTGTCCTCTTAACTGTCGTAACTCTCGCCCCTTGGGTTACATTCTGGGTCTGAACCGATCGACGAGTGGTTGTCTTCTTAATGATAGTCCTCTCGACGCCGTCGTCGCCGACAATCTTCTCTTCGGTGATCACCACGTCTTCGCTCTGTTCATCATTACCCGTCTGTCCGCCAAATTCGTCCACTTTTCGGGTTTTGAACATTTTTTTATTGACAATTGTTTTGCGATTTAATGTTTGAATAAATATTTATGAAATTACACGATATGTTTTCGTATCGTTTCTATTAGAAATAAATAGCTATTTGTTAGTCGATGTATTAATTAGTCGGTGAATCACGTAAACCAATGACTGTGTGTTCGCACAGTCTATCAGCCGCTGTATAATAACTCAATCGACAGAAACGATAGTTTCCTTTGATCTCTGGTTTGGAGACTAGAAAAAAGAGTGAATCAAAAGGAATATAGTTTTTTAATGCAATGTTTTTTCATGAAAATCAGTTTTACAGATAGTGTTGCCCGAGAAATGTCACACACATTGTGCGAAAACAATGAAAACTATTCAAACAGTGTTATCAGTCGATTGAGTGGGAAAAAAATTTTAATAATATTTTTATGATATCGGGAATCAAGAAATACGGTTTACACCACACTTACACTATATGTGTGTTTCTTACATGTATTTCTCGCAATTCATGTATGTTTTTCAAAATGATATGCATTTGTCATCAATATTTAGATTAACATAACATTTCTACTGTGTATTCAAAAAGCGTGGATTCCTTTCATTATATGTCACTGTAAACACTTTTATACTCTGTTTTTGTTTTAATCAATTTTGTTATAGTTTACAAACTTTATTTAAACATCTCTCTCTCTCTCTCTCTCTCTCTCTCTCT